CCTTGCCCTGCGCGCAGTCTTCTCTCTCCTTTCGCATTACTACCTTCTCGGCGCAGCCGCCTTCTTCCCGAAACTTTACGAACTCTCCGTTCGTTCGAGTCAGCTTCTCTGCTGGGAATTAACCGGGCAACATCCTATTAGCAATAAAGCGTGTGCCGCTCGTGTAGTTGTCTTACTCCGACTCACCTACGCTTCCACCCTCGCGAATCCCCTATCTTATCCTCCTGCCGAAACTGTATTTCCAATTTTCGTCGGCACATGTCCTCCTACGTATTCCTACGATTCAAAGCCGGATTTTTCTCGTTACACGAACGATCTTCTCAATACATCATCAGTTGAAAGAAGTCCACATCGAGATATGTGTATACCTTATCTCGTTAGCTCTATTACAACTTATTACGCTTTTATTTTTATTCCTGTTTTCTTTATGTTTATTCAATTTTTATTTTGCCGACAGATTTAATTTTCTTTCATACAAAGATCTATTTTCTCGCTGCTCCTTAATGCTATTGGATTTTGCGCTCCAAGGACAGTCGTCAATTTGCAAGGTGGTTTACAACTCTTAATCCTAGTTCTTTCACGGTCGCATTAGGCTCTAACGAGGCATTGTCGCCGCCCAACCATGGTTTTCAGGATCGGGCTCTGAAACTTTTCAAGACATTAAGGATACGAAGGAACGATAAAGCGCGCGAATTATGCCGCAATTATGCAAAGCGAAATACTGAGGCAAGGACGACCAACATTCGCCTCTGTCGTTAAAGCTTTTTCGTGAAACTTTCCGGCAAAACTTTGCTCGATCTGCACGATTTCAAGGCAGACTGACATTTACAACGCTTTTATCGAGCATAATTATCAGGGTAAAGAATAAACTCTTCGATCTTTGCTTGAATGTGTCTTCTATTTTGTCTCTTTTTTTTTTAAATCGCATTTGTGGAAGAATAAAATAAAAGTATAATATAAAAGAGAAAATATTGCTTAATTAATTAATTATAATCCTTAGTTATCACTAACTTTAAGAGGTTTCAAAGAAACTTTTCAAGCAGCCGCAGACTCATATTTTTATGTAAAAAAAAATATACGTAAAAAATTTAATTTATAATTCTCACGCGGTTATCTCCTGCGGCTTGTGATTTCTCTCGCACTTCATAATCACTCTGCGGAGCTTTTCTGCGGCTTCTTCTTAGCTCCTCGGTGCTCGGCAATTTCTCCCACGGTATGGAGGCTCTTCGGCATCCGTAAACAGTTCTTATTTACGAGAACGCAGTCATTTTTGCGACGCTCAAAGTGGGGCCATTCGCATGTAAATCGCTTCCTCTCCGCTCCTGTAACGCGGGACAGTCAGCGAGAGAGATATGCAAATGTCGCTAATTACTGGTCGCGGCAGGATTACACGACGTCTTTCTCCCCCCTGCGCATCTTCGTTCTTCGAAGCTTCCATCTTTGTTCTCCCGCGCTCCTTCTCGTTCCAATACCAATTTACGAGCGATTTGCACGTGCAACGTCATTCATTTGATCGTGTGGAACGTGTCGGTTTATGCGATTCACAGGCAATTTCGCGAAAGATACACATGCAAATAAAATTCGATATAAATATTCAGGTTGATGGAAGAAATTTGAGAAAAAAATATTGCAGAAGTATACAGCTCAAATTGGGAAGCATTTTAAATTTATCGATAAATATTTTATAACATTCTTTCTATTTTTAGACTCTAATATTTGGGATTATTTTAGACTTTGCATGTATTATTTTGTGCCCTAAGATTATTTTAATCATCATTTAAATACAAAGAAGTAATTCTCGCGCAGCAAATTCGGTGTATGTTTTCACGGCGGAAAGAATAGATTTCTTTTATCGCGCGAATCTTTCATATTGCATATACACAAAAGAAGTTTCGACCGTGTAGATGAAGAAATCCCCCGTCATTCACATCGGCGGTACCGAACGGTTAACGCAGGAGATATGCAAATTACCGGTAGCCACGAGATTACACGATTCGCCCCGCTCTCCTCCCCCCAAACTTCATTCAAGTTCCCCGTCTATAACCCTCCATCATTCGAGCCTCCGCTTTCAGACGGTTCCACCTACCTTGACACCTCTTCAACCGACACATCCGCCGTCATCTCTCGATGTCTTCCGAGTCTCTCTCCTTCTCGGTCAGATAACTAACACCTTGTAACGAGCAAGCACGCCGCGTGAAGCGCGAAATGTGCTCTTCGCCGTCGCCGATAGTCTGAGACCGAGAAGGAGGATTATCCTTCTTCCTGACTCACTGCCTTCAACGACAAAGCTTCCCTCGAGGTCGAAGGTGCCGACTGATAAGAGCTCGGAATTACGCTCTATCGTTGTAGCTGACAGCCGAAAAGCGCGGGGCTGCTGATAGACCGAGAATGCTCTCCCGTGGGACGAAGGACGCTGTTTCTCTAACTGAGGGTAGGTGATGTTAGTTTGACGATCGTACGAGAAAATTAGAGAGCCTGCTAGGATTAGCCTGATACGAAACAAAGCTGTCGCTCGCGGTGTCCTCTTCTTTCCTTAGGCTGTTTATCGACGCGTATTCTGTTCCCTAGATAAATTCATCGTCACTATAATAAAGCTACATTGTTCTAAACACAATTAGCATGGACACGCGAGTTTAAGTCGATGGAAATTCAATATTTCTTGAAGTTTCCATGCCAAATAAATCATATGTATTTTACAAGAAAATTTATATAAATATTTTATAAAATGTTTACGTATAAAATATAGATTATCTTTCTTAGGAAAATGTAAATGTAATTGTAATCAAATTTTTTTTATATTGAGAGAATTAACTTTTTAAAATTATATTTCATTTTCCTTGTTCATATTAAATTATTATAAATTAGTATTTAGTTAAATATGATTTATTATTATTAAAATATAAATATTTACAATTTAGTTGAAATTATGAATTAACATTTACATTTTAATAATAATGATAAATCATATTTGGCATCGCATTCTGTTTGAAATATTTAAAACTTTTTTGAATCAAGGCGCTCTGTGGGAGGTCGTTCTTGTCCATTAACTTTTTCTAATCTCCGCGGAGATGTTATCCACGGGAAATGAGATGAAGAGAAAAAGAGAGAAGGCATGTTGCATGGTAGCCATTGTTTCAGTGGTCCAGATTATGGATCAAGATTTGATAAATGGCACGAGAAACGACGGGCGTATGCTGCTTCTTTTCCATCTTTTCCGTTTCATTTCTTGGCGTGCGTTCGTCGGGATGTCTAATAGATAGAATTGTATCTTGCTATGCGATCTGGCTATACATGCTGACGAGGGTAGAGAACAGTTATTACGAGATCATAACGGCAGGGAGGCCTCGTTGAAATCGTTCTATTACGACGTGCACTCATCTCGATTGTATCATAATGGGAGAGATTGCCTAACAATTATTATTTCTCAAATTGCCTTTCAAAACTATGAGCATAAATTACTATTTCTCTTTATTCTCGCTAATAAAATTCATATCATAAACACGCATCTTTTTTTATCATATGTGCGCTGAGAAAAATCGTTTGATTGTACCAACAAGACGTATATGATTGAAAGCATTTTTGTTAAAACAAGAATTTCTAGTTATCATGATAAGACTCGATTTTTTATAACTAGAATTTTTAATAGATTTTACTATAAGGATTTGGTTAGTATTTTCTGATTGAATCTATAAAATTTCTTGTTACATTAATTTCTTTGCTTGCCGCTAGGCCACTCTTAACTTAACTCGTATTCAATATTTGCCATAAAATGTATATAAAGAACTAGTATTAACATTAAATCCAAAGTATATATTTTTTTTCCCTTACGAGCAGAAAGAAGACGCTAGCTCTCTGATTGTGTGTGTTTGAGCTGCATCCTCTTCTTGCATCACTGTTTATCAGTTTAATTTCTAACAAACTGAATTAAAAATAATTTATTCAATAATCTGGATTGAATTTATCCAATAATCTTGTTGGAATTCAGAATATTAAACAGACAGACTTTTGAGATTAGATGGAAAAAATTTCAGACGACTTGGTGCTGGCGAGTTTAGTATTATTAACCAGAAAATTTGGTTAAATTTAACAGGAAGAAATTAATCAGATTCATCTGGTAATTCCTACAAGAATTCTGGTTCGTCCATTTTTCAACAGAGACATACTGGTTGAATCTACCAAAATTCTAATTAATGCAACCAGATTTTTTTCTCAGTGTGTTTGACAAGCGAGCTTTTTCGCAAATAACAGCAAAGATTCTTTCTATGTGTCTGACAATAAGTCCCACGTACGTCAATATATACATGGTCATCGTCAAGAAACGAATGGTAGATCGTAGACGGCACAACCGTTATTACCGAGATCGTAATGAGAGGGGAATCGGTCGGTCGAGCGGGGATTATTTTTAGATAAGAGAAGACGAGCCACATGCGGTCAGAGATCACGTCGAATTAGGAGGGACTATTTTCATTACGTGCTTTAGCCCCTTCCCGATGTTTCACGAAAGAGAGACAGAAGGGAGGGAAATAATCCTGCAAGAAACGTAAGAGATATTTCGTTCTTACGCTCGACCGGCTAAATGTCTTACCTGCATTTACTTCGCTATTTCGCCTCTATTGTATCATAAACTTGTACCAGCGAGGGCGCGCGAACGAAACGGGAGATTTCGGAACAAAGAAACTTTTGACGAGAGGCAGTAGCGAATGTGTTTCCTCGTTCTTGCTGGCGGAAAAGCATCGCTTAAAAGCTTTTTACCGAACCCTTTCATGCTTAACTCTTCAAGAAGCTTATACGCGAGAGAAAAATTTAAGAGATATACATTTTATTAAGCACCCATCTCGTTTTATATTTATAAAAGATGTAAAATATATGACAAAAATTATTACGTATCACAAAGACAATCGATTCAAAAGAGAAGGAAAAATTATATTTCTTACATTAATTGTAAATATTTAATTTCGATGATATTACGCAATTTTAACAATATTTTTTATCTTTTTCAGGTAAGCCTCGGAGAGATTCTTTGCAGACGGGACTAGCATGCAAATTTCCGGATCTTACAGTGAGTTAATAATAGTCGAGAGAAAAAGGGGAGATACTCGAGAATATCGATCTCCTGAAGAGAGTGAGTAAATGTAACGAAGAGCATCGTGAAACTTAGACGCGTCATCCAGCTGTTGTCGCGACACACGTCGCACCACTTACCTCCTGCTCTCTTCCTCATTTCTCGGTCTCTCATCACGAGTCCTTTCCTCCTTGACGAGTCCTTCCTCCGTCTCTCCGCGTCTCCGTGTTATATCCCACCGGCTTTTATTAGCGTGGATCCTCCACGGATATCGCGGAGTGTGTCGCGGGCTCCAGCGCATCGTGGTAAATCATCCACGGGCAATCAGGCTCCCTTTGTACTGTCAGAGGGCCGTTTGAGGATTCTGCGTCCCATATCCTTATCCGCTTAGCCGGGCAATATGTGAGGATAGCCGGGCAATATGCGAGGATAGGCCGGTAGCCCGCTTCCTTTGTTAGATTTCGTTCGGTGGGGTTCGCTAGGCGGCGACCCCTCTCTCCCCTTCGCCCCTTCAGACAGTCGGTCCAGCAGCCTTATCCGTTTACGTACGTTTGCGTTTGCGTTCGAGTAATCCGCTTTTGATACACTTTTATCAGTACATCTTTGATACATCGATGATATGAGATTTGAGATTTTTAAGATGCAAGTGTAACAAAAAAATTGTGATGGATCAAACGAAACAATCTTGCTTTGCTTTTGCTTAAATACAAAGACCTACATGAATAGAACTGCACATGCAGCATCAAATATATATGTTTATTATATAATTATATAATAATTATATATGTATATTTTAATATTATTATATAATTTATTATATAATTATTATATATATTATAATTATTATATAATTATATAATAATTATAATATTATATAATTATTATATATATTAATTATATATATATATATATTATTATTATATATATTAATAATTATTATATAATATTATATTTATACAGTAAATGCATGCATAAACTTTTTTTCTTTAATTTCAACACCAATAAAGACACAAATTAGAAACCTACAATTATTAGGAGAGGTGTGAAAAATCGTCAAGAATAACTGAATCTTATAAAGGTGTCGAGAAAGAGGATCTGTCAGTAATAGAAGAGACCGCGATATTTTGTTTTACAACGCTCTTACAAGAACCGGTACTGGACGCAGCGCTACCGAGACTCTAATGAGGCCGTGACTCGTGCGTGCAACAAATAAAACTGCAGTTACTTTAAATTTCCGTTATTCGATAGGCGTTTTGTCGCGTTTTCCCGACACTCTGTCGCGGTATCTTATTTCTAGTTACGTGGGCGAACGCTCTTCGTGACTAATCAGTCTACCTCGTCAGTCGGTCGTTAACCTCTACGAGCTCGCCGATGTGCATTTGCATTTCCAATTTTTGCGTTTATTAGTGAAACTCGATATCAAGTTCGCACTCGCTAACACTGTTAACTCGCTGTGTGTGTGTAAACGAGAGATTCGCAATTTCATTCATCGAGTTTATTAGTGTGTATGTGAATGCGAAAATATATTTCTTAATTATAAATACAAATTACAAAGAACGAAATATTAAAGAAATTTCACAGATTATAGCATATTTTTTATATTTGATTTGTGTTCCTCATTCTTATTCGATATTAATATTTGACAGATACAGGGGCTAAGTGGACTTTCTAAAGAAAAAGTTGCCAACAATTTTTAACATACGAAACTTAATTCTTATTGAAAAATTAAAAATACAAACGGGTTAACCGGTATCTTTAAAATATAATACTATATTGTACCCGATAGGGACATAATTCGAGAATGCATCACGAGTCGGTCTTTAAAGTGCAGTGGCGAAGAGAAGGCCCACTAAGAAATTTTCTCCGGTTCGCGAGGTCTCGCCCTCATTTTGCTTGGTGGCGGAGAAGAAGCGAAGAGAGACCGTGCGAGAAGGAGGAGGGGGCAGCCACCGAGGTCTGTGACCTTAAAAGTTGCTCCGGTGCAGGCGTCGTTGTACGGTGCAGAAGGACCGAGAGGAAAGAGAGGGAATGATAGATCGGCGCGAGATGGAAAGGGGAGGAGGGGGCCTCGAGAGAAGGAGAGAGAGACAAGCTCGTTTATTTTATCGTACACGTCGGTCGCACACGACGAATCGCGAGTATCAAACCACACCTAGCCGGTTGTGCGCTCTCCCGCGCGGACGCGAGCCCGATCTGTCAGGTAGTCCCGTGATACATGGGCATGTGCACATAATAATATCGCGTGGCAAACCGCGAGATAGCCGGCGTGGGTCGACAGACAGGGAGTGCCACTCCGCGTCAGGTCTTTTCGCTCCTCTTCCTCTCGCGCTTTTTCGCGAGACGCGCCAGGCTTCTCTTCCTGTTGCAGCCGCGAGCTCGTCTTCTCTCAGCTGTTCTTCCGTCTCCTTCTAGAGGCGTGCTTTATTATTGTTGCGTGAGCGACATTTTCACATCGAAGGCTAGATATCGGTTATCGAGACGGGTATATTGATTTTTTGATAACGTCACATTATTTTTAATCTCAACTTTATGCATGACACGTTGTAGGACTAAATTTTGAGATGATTTTTTTTTATTACAGTCATATTTATAAAAAATATAATACATTTTAATTTAATCGTTCACTATCTATTATTATATTTATCTTTTATTTATAGATTTAGATATTAGCATCTCATTCCGGGATATTGAGTCGACCTACTTTTCACAAAATCACTGACTTTCTCTTTTTTTTTGTTCGTGCCTCTGCGTAATTCGAAAAGACGTCGAATTAGAAGAATCCCCAAGAATAAAGAAGTGCGAATTTACATTTGAGAGGAGCAGTGGTCGTTAAAAATTTGCGTTACGTTGACAACCGTTTTGTCTCAAATGCGTTTGAGATCGCGGCTTGGGATCGATGGTTAATAAATGTCACGTTGCTAATTCGCCGGACCAATGACTATCACTTATGTCATGTTACTTTATGGCTGTGCTCAGTCAGTCGCGCTGGTTGGTCGGCTGCATAATTACATCCAGACGCTCGTAAAATCGTCAACGCGCTAGTTTCAAGATGACACAGAGAACGCATCTCATAATTCCTATGGACTCTATGCATGACTTCTCCGACTCGACGAATGTCGCGCATTTCAAGTTAGTAACTAAAAAAAGATAATGTTCCGCACGATTGATTTACATGCCCGATTGATTTATGTCTGTTGTTGTTACCTGTACCGTTTGAGACAATATAATATGCGACTGGCAAATATAGAATAGGTTAATGTTTACGAGTTGTAAGATAAGAAGTGAAAGGTTGTAATTGATAGCTACAGATTAAGAAATAAAAGAGTTTGGGTAAATACAAATTTAATTAAAATTACTATTATTTTGCTTTAAAGAGAAGGGAATATTTGAGGATAAATATAACTTCAAATTTAAAAAGAGGATCTCTCAGAAGATTAATTTTATCGATACACCAAATATTTATTCTGCCAATTAATTAACGTATAAAGAATATCTAAAAAAAATTTTTGTAAGAAGTTTCGCGTGGGAGAAAACAACTATTCCGTCTTTAATATTAATGTATATGGCACAACAGGGCGGGGATCTCTTGTCAATAGACGAGAGATTAATGAATCAGACGCACACCTCATAAAACTTATTCTCGCAAACTAAAATTCCAGCGGATTTTTTTGTCGACGCTATTAACGCATCTGCACGCCTACGAAAAGGACAATCGTGGGCGAGCATCGGCGACTATCCAGCGATGATGTTACAGGCTTCTTCTCTACATCACGCGAGTTGCTGATATTCTAGCACCGCGGTTAGAATCGCGGTTCAATTTACAGCAATGTACGGATAAATCTACGATCATTGTGTGCTGTTGTGAGCTCATCCGATCGATTCTTATACAGTCTCACCATCGATCGACGCCATGAATCTGTCAAACGAGTCCCGGCGAATTAATCGCTCGCGATTGGTTGCCATCTGTCGTTTCGCGAAATAGTAAAACTGTTTTTGTGTAACTGCATTTATAGATAATAATTTTGGTTCCCTCGTTTTCTTGATGAAGATTGTAAAGTTCTGGATACAAGAAGTCGGAATTGACAATCTTCATTATAGTAGAATTTAGCGATAAATAAAATTGATTTTCTTTGAAAATATCTAGATATAAATCATAATTTCTCGCAATTTTGGATTATTAATTTCTCTTTACATACATTTATTTACACAAAAGTTTTTAATTTAATTATTAATTCCGAAATTAATGAGTAGGTGAATTAATAACTTGCAAATAAATTTGTTTAAAATATTCTTGATTGAATATGTGCTCTAGACAATCACTCATTTTTTTTTAATTTTAAAAAATAAAAAATGGGAAAATAAGGAAATTACATTATTTGCATGGCAAAAATGTAAAGGTAGAGAACATTGTCTTGCACATTTCGTTTTACCAATTATTATTGACTGCACTTGTACTTTGCCTATTGTATCTTTTCGGGGAGATAAATGCGCCGCTCCCCCGCGACGAGCTGAAAAATTCTCTTTCCGTTAGCGAACATTCGATAAAGCGCAACAGTTGCTCGCCTAATTAGCGATGGAACGTGTTCTCTCATTCCGCTTCCTCGTTTCGTGCGATGCCGCTCGTGCCGGTTCGACGATCTCGATTCTCTCTCGTGCGCGTGCGATCTCGATTTTTCTGCGATCGCGAACGAGGCAACCGGATCGTCGCCTGCCGATCAACAAAGTGGCTCGTAATCTGGTTTGCTTCTGGATCGGGGAGAGATGGGGCAAGAAAAACAGGAAGGAGCGAAAAGAGAGAAGGGACCAGTTTGCTGAGACGCTCTTTCTTTATCTCCGGTGTCGCTTGATTTTTGCACCTCGTTTCCTCCCACCTTCTTTGCCTTGTCTCGAAAATGTATCGCCGAATATCTCGATTTCCTTCGTCTCCGATTTTTCTGGTATTCATCCGTAGTTTTGATTTGGTTGAAAACAACGAATGAAAATATCGAATAG